TTTGAGACAAGCCTGGGCAACATGGTGAAACCCCATCTCTATAAAAAATACAAAAATTAACTACTAACTAGGCATGGTGGTGCACACTTATAGTCCCAGCTATTCGGGAGGCTGAGGTGGGAGGATCACTTCAGCTTGAGAGATAGAGGCTGCAGCAGGCCATTATCACACCACTGCACTCCAACCTGGATGATAGAGAACGTGTCTCAAAAAAAAAAAAGACAGAGAAAGATAAAAAGAAGCTGAAGGCATGTTCTTTCTTGAAAAATCTATCAGACCTGCAAGGAAAACCATGTATGAAAGTGACCCAAAGGAAGTTGAGGAATGCACAGAATGACCTCTAGAGGTTCCTTTTAGCACTACTGATCCCTGAAGGAGACCTACAGACCCTCATGAACTGACCCCAACCAGGCATTGGCTTGCTGCTTTTTTCCCCCACATTGGCTGGTGCTGTCACAACACTCACTACAGCAATTCCTTCCAACCCTGCCTTGCCCTCAAGCCTCTGCTGCTGGAAATGACCACTGGCCCATGGTCCAGAGGGTGTGGCTGGCACAGTGGAGGAGGAATGTGTCTGACTTGTATGTGAAGGTAATGACTGGGTAAGACACACAGCGTGCGCAGAACCCAGTTTATGGACCAGTCTTCCATGTGAAATTTGACTTTTCCCTCTTTGCTGAATTGGCCAGGTTAACAATAGTTACCCCTCGATTACAGGAAGCATGCATGCTACAAAGCCTCCTTGGAGACCCACATGGCCCTCAGTTGAGCAATTGTTCAGATTTCTTTTTCTTTTCCATGGGAATAAGGGTTCCTCTCTGCAAAGCACATGTTTTAGGGTTTTTTTCTTGCTACCCCCAAGGGCCTGGTGATATTTTTCTTTACCATGCATTAAACAGAATCTGGAGTCTTTGTGGGGGAAAAAAGGCAGGAGGGAACATACTAGTTAAAATGTTTCTAGGTACACTACCAGGATGTACTTATTTATTGATATACAAATGACATAAGTTATTGAATGCTTGCTGTAGGCATTCTCTGTTCTAAGAACTTTGTAAGAATCGACTTACGTAAGTTACTTCATAGCAGTTCTATGATGTAGTATTGTTATCACCACTTTACAGATAAGGAAATAGAGACATGACATACAGAATGACATGCTCAATGCCACTCAACCAGCAAGTGATAGAATCAAGCTTGAAACAGCTGATCTGACTCCAGAGTCTGTGCTCTGATCTACTATATCACAGCGGTTTCTATGTATGCTATTCTCCTAATATATACTGTTTGAAATACATGAAAAAGAGTAATTTTAATAGAATGAGATACCTATTGGCAATATTGAAGTTCTCATACTTTTGTCCTCTGCTCCAGTGAGCCATCTAGAACCACCTCTGAGATCTATGTGCCCTCCTTCCAAGATCATCTTGGGGGATTCTTATAGGGGAAATTCAAACTGCTACCCTCAGGGGTCTTAGTGTCCTTGTCTCTATTTGGATTCTATAATGGAAGTGAGGTCTATAACTGTAGAGTCTGTCCTCCGGTTGGGTCTGCCATCCACCAGTTCAGGTCACTTCCCTCCCCACCTCTCTGCTGCCCCTGGGAGCCTGGGCTTTTCCCCTGAGACCCAGCCAGGCAGAAAACACCTTCCCTGTATTCCTTCATGCCCCTTTGTCCTCCAGCCTAAACTTTCCAGTGCCATTATATCAGGAAGTTACTAGGTAATGCACTACTCGCTCAACGGAAAAATTAATTTGAACATCCACATCACTCTTCCCCTTTCTATCTTCAATCAGTGATCACATGTTACCTTCTTGTGAGAACTTCTCTAACTTTCCTATTTAAAATTCTCCCTCTGTCTCTCACACACACGCACGAAACTCCCTTCTGCTTTACTTTTCTTCACGGTGCTTTTATCAGATGTTATTCTTATTTTTCTATTCCCCCTCCTCCAACTCAAAAATAAACATTATGAATGCAGAAATCTCTATCTGATGTATCCAACCTTGTATGCCCAGTGCCTACACAGCACAATTAGTTCATAGTAGACACTAAAAGCTTTGGGTTGAACAAATGAATAAACTGTTTCTCTGGGATTAACGATTAGGGATTTGAAGCCAATAAGAGAAATAATATAAAACAGGGGAGCTTTTCTTAATCACATTCAAAAATATCAGTGCCTAAAATACTGTACATTTTCTACCTGGTGTGCTGGAAAAAGTTGAATAGTAACCAGGTTACTCATACAACTGACAATAGGAATAAATGTAAATCCAAAGTAAACCCCCTTTTGCTCAATAAACCATTTGTTTTCCAAACAATCTTTTACTTTGTCACTGATTACATAGTTCTTAGGTCCTACCAAACCATGAGGCTATAACAGAGCACAGCACAATATGGTTGATTTGTTGATTTGGTGTTTTAAACTAATTCATGTTGTTTGAAATAATTATGACTGATATTTGTGTAAATGCTGACACTGGCATGGTCAATGCCTGGTCAAAAATTTCTATATAGGACTTGTTTGGGGATTGCAAAGGGCTAGAAATTGGCCATAACTAAGGATCTTCATTAGAAGTTTCCTTTGAAAAGTTCCACACTTATTTCATAAGACTGAGCCACAATCAGTTTTTTTGCCTGAAAACGTAGGAGAGCTAATAGAGAATATACCACCCTTACCACTGAATGTGACTGAGATTCTTAATACTCTGAATACTGATGAACTAGAGCATAGAACATTATTTTATTGTCAGTTTATATCAATATGGTATATTTCAGACTGGCCATAATTGGAGCTGCTTTTAAGCAGAATTATAGACCAACCCCCTACTTTTATTTACTTACACGGAAAGTAAACAATCTAAAAATGAAGTCTTTTATTTTCTGAGGTATCACCCTGTAAATATGGATCTCTTTTCAGATGAAGTGTTCGTAGGAGATAGATTTGTCCCTATCTAAGGAAGATGAGCAGGAGGCGATGTAATTTATGAGCTGAACTAACAGAAGGGTGCTGAGTTGGATTTTATTAAACTAATATTATGGCTGGCAAGGATGGCATGTCAGATGTCCTGTTCATTTTAAAGATCGTGCCATTTCAATAAATCATTTTTATAATTTTAAATACATTATATAGGTGCAATGCCAGTAGAGGGTATGTTTACATATGCCAGACACATTGGTTTGCTTCCCTACATTCTGTGTTGCTCATTTCATTTTCTAGAGATGTAGTTATCAGATTATTTTCATGAGCTAATCCATAGTTTACTTATTTCATAGTCTTGATTTGGTGCTGTTATGCTTATTTGATTCTTCCTTGTACATACATAGTCAACTCACGTGAACATCATTACAGTGTTTCTCCCTTCCTTCTTGCACAAAGAGCTAAAGGAATCTCCTGTTTTAATTCCTTCGCCCATGTAGTACAATGAGAAAACAATACACAAGGTGCATTTGGGGAAATTTACCATAAGATTTCATCTGAAACAGTTGTGTTATGTAAGATAGTGCATTGTATTTCAGAATATTTAAGGTTGAATTTTTTTTTACTGTGTGAACTCTATACTATTTTCTTTTCTCCCCTAACTTCCCCTCATTTAACAGCAGACAAACCCAGGGAGCACTGAATGAATCCGATGATCCTGAAACAGGCTGTCTAACTGATAACAAGCCAACTTCTCGACACTTCTATCCTGTCGCCTTGCTGCTTGTCAGCTCACACCTGCTAGTTGTGTGGCTTATTTTAAGTCTGGCATTGCTCTTAGCCAAATACCAATAAGTTTTATGTTGTATTCCTTTTTCTTTTCTACAAATGACAATGAACTTTAAATCATGGGGACAATGCTGTAATATTTTTACATTTTCAAATTCACAGAATTTAAAAGAAAATGTTTAATTTGTGTTTTTGTTTGTTTTTCCTAAAATCTGAAAAACAGAAAGTACTATGCATTGAGTGGATTATTTTGCTCTTTTGTTCATGGAAAAGTGTTTCCCACTGTTAACTAGCTCAAGAAGAATTTTTAAATTACTGTCTTTGGAATAAGACAAAGAACAGAATCCTGAAAGCTTGAAGTTCTGAACCTCCTGTCCTCATCCCATTAAATTTATTAAAGAAATTAAGACTGAATTTGCACAAACACTGAAACCCTGAGACAAGTTCTAGAGATGTGGGAGGTTGCAGACTTTATTTCCACTGTGCTAATATCATAGATGCCATCTGCTGATAGAAATTTTTTTTTAACCTGTTTTACTTCTTTGCTGCAATTAACTCTTTTCTGTCAAGTAACTTTATGGAGAGAATGGCTATTTATGTTTTGTAATTATATTACCTGTTTGTATCTCTTGTTTGGGTTGATTTGGCTTTCAGAGGACTTTTCTATTCTTTTTAACAAGGTCTTGTTTGTGTCTTGATGTACCATTCCCAGCACTTGTGACTTTTGTACTGTCCGTGGACAAGCACTCTTCCTTTATAAAGCTGAGACTTGGCCCAGGCTGTTCAGAAAGCCATTTTCTCTCTTCCTTGCACAGCTAAAATAATAAAATTAAAATAGAGATGAAATTTTTCTTTAAAAATCTATAGGGCCAGACTTAATAAATTAAATGCCTTATTTCTAGAACCTGCATCCTTAGGGCTACATATAGATTTTAATGTGTTTTAAAGAGACTGAGAAATTAATTTGTGGAAATGTTATAAAATGGCAGATATATTTATGAAACTAAAGTGGAGCTGTATTGTGGAGCAAATTATATTTAAAGAGTTTATTAAATTTTAAATGTCTGTTAAGAGTAAAGAGACTTAAGTCATCTCTTTCAGAGGGCAATAATGGTATTGGGCCTGGCCTAGGATTTAATTTTGTAAGATGTATCATCACTTGTGGAAAAAAAAAATGTAGAGTTGAATCTTTGTTATTTTTACTTGGACTGTTGCTGCAACTCTGCATTAAACAAATAAAGCATATTTATTTATTCTGTGTTTCATGAAGTTGTACTTTTTCCCCTTTCACCAGAGAAGGATGCCGCATAGAGAATGTACTGAAGAATATCAAATGCAGAAAGTATGCTTTCAACATGCTACAGCTGATGGCTTTCCCCAAGTACTACAGACCTCCAGAGGGGACTTATGGAAAAGCTGACACCTAAGTTTACCAACATGTTAATAAACAGGAACACAAATACATTTCAGTTGGATAATCTTCACCTTGGTCTTTTTTGTTTGTTTTTATTGTCATGAATTTGTGGTGGGGGAGATGATCACAGATGTTTGCCAAAATCTAGGAACTACTTGAATTCATTGTCAGCATATTACTCTGAAAGAAATCCATTTAAAAAAATCTTACATGACTCAGTACTGTCATTTCTAGTTCTAAGTTTCTATGTGCTGAGCCTAGCTGATTGTGATTGGTTCACAAAGTATAAGTTTCATTCATGAGTATTTAAATGTTTCTGAGGAAACATGGATCATTTCAGTAGGACTAGGGGTGATTCAGAGAGCACTACTGTCCATCCAAATGAGGAGAGGAGAGGGGGAAAAGGAGCAGAGTTTTTTTGTGATACAACTTAATAACCTATGAGAACACAGTCAACCTGAGAATCAATATAAGGGATTAAAAGAAAACGTGTAGCCACTCAATTAGGTAGAGTTAACTCGTGATCTGGAATACTGAGGCAGTTTGCAGGTATGTTCCACAATGATCTCTATCATCCAGTCAAGGTGTGACTCTTCCTCTTCAACAGGCATATGCATGAAGTGAGTAAAGCAGTCAACAGACCTTTCAAAACCATGGCATCTTTTCAGAACTCTGACTTGGGTTGTGTGATCTAGCTGTGACTGTAGCAATATAGAACGTTTAATAGAGTGATAGGCAAAACACTGCAATGATCTAAAATTGCAAAGAAAATAAAAATGAACATTTTGATACCCAAAATGAAAATCCCCATCAGCCTGAACTTTATGTTGTGAAGTTCATGAATGTCAGTGAGGTGTCTCTGAGATGTTTTTTAGCAGTCATCTTGGTATAAGCATGCAGTTATGGCATAGGTTTGTGTATGTTAATAAGCCTTTAAAACGTATGCAACCACAACAAATGATAAAGTAAAACAATTATTTTCTGTTACCCTGAATTTCAAACTTGCCCTTACTCAGTAAAATAACAACATTTATAAGTTTTCCAAAATCCCAAAGTGGAAGTTTCCTTAAAAATCATCTTGTATAATACCAGTATTCAAAAATGGGTAAGGTTAATCACCCCCAATCACCCAGCAAAAGAATTCCAAAATCAGAACTACAACCTCTTCTTACTTTTCTAGCCTGTGGCTTGTCCCTTCTCCAAATTGCTATGCTAAATATGCATGAAAATTAAGGGAGAATGCTAGTTAGTTAAAAAGAAATTAGGATTTATCACTGGAATTGAAACTAAGAATACAAAAGTCTGAATGAATGAAACTTTTTTTCTACAAATTTTACGAATTTATTCTTGTTCCTTTCTCATTAGAAGAACATGCTATCCAAAGCATAAATCTCCCTTGAAAATAACAGAGGCTCATTAAGCCCTCTCTTAGCTATGATCAATGGATAATATTATGCTTTCCATACCGAATGTGATAGCTGCTTGCCTAATATTCCTGTTGAAATAAGGATTCCAACCACATTTCTAGTCCCAGGTTAAGATTTTCAAATTACTACAAATTCTAGGTAAGCATTTGGAGTTTTTTACACTAAAATTATCAATTTTTTATTTTAGCTAATTACCTGTAGGCATTATACTTGAGGCAGTTACGAAACTACTTACAGCCTTTTTAATGAAAATGTGCTGTGTACTTTGAATCCATTCATAGACAAAATTACCTTGATGTTCTCTTAACTCATTCTTTATTTTAGTGATTAAACACGACCTTTGAGTTATTCAATATCATTTGAAAATGGTAGGATTTGTGGTTATTTTCATGCCCCACTGGATTTAAGATAGAGAGGCTGGGATGACAGAGGCCTCCTCCAATAGCTATGAAGCCTCATTCAGCATATCAAATGGTAATCTGAGTTCCAAGAAACCTTAAGTAATTTATCAACCTGTAAATACTCTTATAAACAATAATTTTTATTTGTAGTTTTAAAAAATGAAACCACTTGACTCAAATATAGAAAAATATTAACTAGAAAGCCAACAGTAGGGGTTTCTATTTTTAAAAGACATTTCAAGGATTTCCTGTAATCCTAGCACTTTGGGAGGCCAAGATGGATGGATCACCTGAGGTCAGGAATTCGAGATCAGCCTGACCAACACAGTGAAACCCCATTTCTACTAAAAATACAAAAATTAGCTGGCTGTGGTGGTACACACCTGTAATTCCAGCTACTCGGGATGCTGAGGCAAGAGAATCGTTTTAACCCAGGAGGTGAGGTTGCAGTGAGCTGAGATCACACCATTGCAATCCAGCCTGTGTGACAAGAGCGAAACTCCATCTCTAAATAAGTAAATAAATAAATAAATAATATAGAAGCCTCAAATTATAGTGCTTACTGTAATACAAATACTATATGAATTTTCATTCATTAGCATAGTCATCTGCATTTCCTTATAGAAAGCCTATACTGGTGTAAACTAAAAGTGGATTTCATCAAGAAAATGTGTTTCTTAGAGACAACAATATTGCTTTTTTCCTAAGAGACAGTTCAAAAATTCTCGAACAACTACTTCACTATTTCTTAAGTTATTAAGGCTAAATCAAAGAGCAAAGGTTAAAAACAAACAAACAAACAAAAAAAGCGTTTAAATCTCTCTTGAACGAACACAGCCACAGGCATGCTATTCTATCTACATTTTCACTTAAAAGATACACCAGCAGACCTATTTTAGGAGGTCATATTGAGCCAAAAAATGAACTGAGCAAATGACATTTCCAAACTCTTTTTTGCTCAAAAATAATATGTTCCCCTTTGATATTAAATGCAGATATCAATTCTGGATTAGTTATTTACTGAGCCCTAGGAAAAACATATTTAAAGACAAGGAAACCATTCATTTACATCTCATGTCATTGCTTTTTTCTTTTAAGTATTGCCTTAAGGTTTGTCTACACTCTGCCAAAACAATCCCTGAACATAGTTTGGTCAGCCTCATAATTCAATGAGTCAAGAAACCATTTGATCCAGGTGATAAACTGTACTAAATGACAAACTGCCCAATCAGGGCAGAGCTCCACAGACCCAGCCTCCAGCCCTTATTTTATAAGACTAACCCCTCTTCTGAAAAACTCTGAAGGCTTAAAAGCTAGCATTTGATGGAGGATACATCCTTTTTATCCTTCAACTATGTATGGCATTTTACATAAAATAAGAGGTAAAAAAGCAAAGAGAAACTGATTTGTATAAAGTAATGCCTTTCTTCCCAAGCAAATCAAACGTCTCCCTATGTAAAAGTTGATAGTGTACCAAGAGACACACTACCACTGGTGGGCTGGAACTAGCTCGTTCTGATGCATAAAAGTTGGTAATTAAATTATCCAAAATTTTGTAAGCTAGTTGTTAAATGTAACCGTTATTAAATGTGAAATTACAAAACACAATGGAATACACTGAAAACAAAGGTAATAATCAAAACATACCACTTCCCAATTATTTTACTACATTATACTATTTATCAGGACTCTTGAGTCTGTTTAGGTCTCTTGCATCTTTACAGTGAAAACAGAATACAATATTGTGCTACTATGGGTCTCTTCCTGACTGCAGATTCTTAACATGGTGTTAGTAGCTTGAAACTGTCCACAGTGGGAGTATTTACACCATAGAAACTGGCAAATGCTATGAACTAGCAATTTTAATTCCTGGAAAGGCAGTTGGTTGAGCATTTACCGGCACACAATGAATGCCTTCATCTATTTTTTTTTTCATTAGGAAATAAATTATGACAGGCAGTATAAAATTATTAAAATGGTATCAAATGCAATCCCTTATCTTCAGATGGCTATAATTTT